CATACACAATGCACTGAAGATGACAACAGGCCTTTCACTTGGTTGTGGAACTGTGTCCCACTGAGATTTTTCAATTTTTATTTCGAAATTTTTTCGATATGATAAATGTTTAAATTATAGGCCTATGTAAAGAAAATTGCATTATAATTACGCACCGTCGGTTTGGCTTTGCAACAAGAGGTTTATATGAACAATAAACAAACGGACATCGGGGCCAGTAAGTCACTCCACCTTACAAAGAATTCACTTGGGAATTATGTTACTCCAGCGGAGTACATATCTCCGCTATTGCAAAATATCATGGGAGGATCTTAGTGCTGTGTATGGCTTTTTTTAAAAAAAATCTTTACTCTCTACACACGTAACCTGAGATTTAAAGTTCTCATTCCATTGGAGATGTTGATCATGCTTATCTGGTTATGACGCCATGTGCCGTTCTGGTTCGTTACCAACTTTCCTCGGGGTTGTATACCGGCATGTAGTCTGAAGATTGAGGCGATACTTTCCTCCGAAACGTTGTTAACAACCTACATCGGCTCAGAAGACCACGATCGACCGGTTAGTTTAAAATTCCTGTAGTTGGTTGCTCACACTTTTCGTTATTTGCAGAAGCAAACAATCATTAGACGTACCTTGACACATTTCAGTAGAAGTGTTATTCAGAAGTATTCTTTCGCCTTCCAGCTGTATCTCTGTATGAAGACGTTCTTTTTTATGACAGGTCTACACTTCCTCGCTGATAAATATCATGGTCTGCGAGATAATGGAGAACTAACTAACTAACTAACTAGATGGCTTACCGAACCCGAAGGTTCATCACCGAATTAACCAAAGCCCTCCGCCGGACCCTGTCCTGGGCCAACAAAATCCAGTCTCCTTCAACTCCTATCTCCCATAGATCCCGCCTCAGATTATCCTCCCATCTACGTCTAGGTCTCCCCAGCGATCTCTTCCCTTCAGGTTTCCCAACTAGTACCCGGTGCACACCTCTTGGCCCATCCATGCGCGCTACATGCCCAGCCCATCTCACTCTTCTTGATTTAATCACCCTGACAATATTGGGGGAGGAGTACAGATTTTTAAGCTCATCATTATGCAGTTTTCTCCACGCCCCATCGTCTTCCCTCTTGGGCCCAAATATCCTCCTCAACACCCTATTCTCAAACACCTGCAATCTGTGTTCCTCCGTCTGAGTGAGAGACCATGTCTTGCACCCATACAAAACAACAGGCAAGATTATTGTTTAATGGAGAACTACGAGTAATTAATAATTCAGACATTGTTAGTAAACATTTCGAAACTGTAGCTTTCTTTAAACATTTGGGAACTACTGAAACAAATATGAATTATAAACATGTGGGAATTAAGAGCAGATTAAATTACACAAATGCTCCCTACCATTCAATTCAGAATTTCACTCTTCCAGTATCCTCTCTAGAAAAGAAAAGTTTGAAATGTAACCTACCTCTTGTTTAGTGTGTGTATTAAACTTAGTCTCCCACATTAAAGGTGAAGCATACATTGGGGTCGTATAACATTGGTTTTCATGAATAAGCCACTCCAAATGTTGAGAGCTGTCCAATATTTCGGCTCACATTGCAGTTTGCATTCGACGCGTTTAATCTCTGAGAGCAAAAGTTATACATTGAACTCCAGCCGCGATAGCCAAACCAATCGAACAGATTGAGGGCCACTGTGTCCCGGGTTCCGAGGAGAGTGTTTGACCGAAGAGAGCTAACGGTAGACGGACAAAGTTCCAAGCTTCGCAATTGATAATACAAAATATTGTTAGGGTACATTCAAAATGTTGTTCAGAAATTTTAAGGAAGATCACTTGGAGCCCTGAGGTTAAGTGGAAGGATAATATTAAAACGGATTAAATCTGAAAAGGACAATGTTAAGTATATATTCTTAGGAAATAGGGTTTGATGTTGATTGGATTTATCTGACTCGGATTGTGGGCTCTACTGAAGAAATTAATTAACCTTCGAGTGTTTTAAGAGGTGGTGAACTTCTTGACTAACTGAACGACGGCTAGCATGTCGAGATCAGCAGGCAGGAGTTTTTCTAGGTGAGATTTCAGGTTCTCATCGCAGTTAATATGAAGATGGCTGTCTTCTGGGTTTTTGCGCCGTGTAGCCTGGTAGAAGTTTGCCGACTTTTTGGAGGTGCTTACCGCCTCCATCATCAGGCCGATCGCCCTCTGAAACATTTGTGAAATCTTGCCAGACTACACGGCGCAAAAGCTCATAGGATGGCCATTTAATACCAGGTGTGTTGTCTTTGAGGTGAGCGCTGACTTCAAAATAGGCTGTTATCTGTATGAGCTTTGTCTTCACAGTGCAGAAAAAGCTCCTGTAATTAGTGGGGCAAGGACATCATAGAAGTTCCTCACTCCCTCGATTAATTATAAGGTTGTTAGATATTCAGATAGTCCTGTCTTGGTCAAAAGGGCGCTGGCGTCTCACTGGAACGTACTGTAAATCTAATTTTAATAACCTTGGCTACGTTCTAGGGAGCTTATGTAGCTGAAGTCTAGACTTCCTTGTCTTTAATGGATTATATTTTATTAGTGTAATTAATTTATGTCTCGTTACGGCTTTTGTGGCGTGGTATTTTGACATATTTATGCCCGAATGGGCACATGAAACTGCACAAACTGCAAAGTGCCAAAAAATGACTACACGTTGCTTGGAATTTCTCGGTGCTGGCAGGAAGACGTGTGGGCGCGTTAAATTCTCCGCCGTTCTCCCCAAGATGAGAGGCGATCTAAACAAATACGTGTAAAGTGAAGTACTGTTTGTTACTGCTTCGTAACCTTCTCCCTCATCAGGTTTCATTTCATACGTGTTCTTGCTTTTTCAAAGAATGAAATATCAATAAAATGTTCTCGGGCAATCAGCCGCGTTAACTGGTTACCGTAGTAAACCAACGTTTCGGGAACCAACTCTGTTCCCATCATCAGGGTTCTGATGTGACTGGATCCTTGGAAGTCGCCTGGCGAACCCTGATGATGGGGACAGAGTTGGTTCCCGAAACATCGGTTTACTACGGTAACCAGTTAACGCGGCTGATTGCCCGAGAACATTTTATTGATTGTACTCGCCCCGAAAGTCTCAAATCATAAATGAAATATCAATTAGAAGATGTAGGATTTGATGTTTGCACAGCGGTAAGTCTGAAGATTGCTATCTTCTGGGTTATTTCGCCGTGCAGTCTTGTAGAAGTTTACCGGCGTTTCAGAAATCCTTGCTGCCTCCATCATCGCCCTGATGATGGAGCTGACTACACGCCGCAAGAACCCAGAAGATAGCCATCTTCAGACTCACCGCCGTGAACACCTCAAATTCTACTAAATATTAATTATATCATTATTTGTTTGCAGCGATAATTATTTGGAGCGTCGTATTGGAAAGTATTTATTGCGTAAATGATGTTAAGTGTTTACAACTTGGGGTGGATGCATATACGAGGTGCGAACGGAAAGTTTCAAGACTGCGCCTATAAAAACCCGTACACTTATCTCAGGTATTAAATTCATCCATTACCCTCGAAGTAGTTCCCCTGGGAGTGAACACAACGATCCCAGCGCCGCTGCCAAGCCTGGAAGCATCCCTGGAAATCTTTCTTTGTCAGCCTGTCAAGCACCATCTGCGATTCTGCCTGAATCTCTTCTATCGTCTCAAATCTCCTTCCCTTTAGCTGAATTTTCATCTTTGGGAAGAGGAAGAAGTCACACGGAGCTAAATCCGGCGAATAAGGAGGGTGCGGGATGACGGCCATGGTGTTTGAGGCCAAAAACTGCCGAACTTTGAGGGCGGTGTGCGCTGGCGCGTTGTCATGATGCGTCGCATGTGGAGTTCTTCCTTTAGAATCAGCTGACAGGTCCCATAGCCTATCCCAACAATGTCGCACAAGTCGTTGATGGTACGACGTCGATCTTCGTGAATGGCCTGCCGAATCTTCGTAACATTTTCGGGCGTTGTGCTCGAAGATGGTCGTCCAGAACGCTCGTCATCATCGACAGAGGTTCGGCCATTTTTAAAACGTGAATGCCACACAAAAGTTTGGGCACGACCCATTGCGGACTCCCCAAATGCTTGCTTTAGCATTTCATAGGTTTCCGTAGCCGTTTTGGCGAGTCTTTGGCAAAATTTGATTTGTTCATGAAAATCCGCCATTCCGAAATCGCAGGAGGGTCGGTGTAATGCACTACCAAAACGCCCGTAACTAAGAAACAAATACTAATTCGATGATGCCGGCT